TTCTTTTCTTTTCTTTTCTTTTCTTTTCATTTTTTCATTTTTTATGACAACATGATTAACACAAGATAATTTATTCAAGTCTGATGTGTGTGCACAGTGTGCTTGTACGGGTGGACAGGATGAGGAAATCAAGAGAGAGCAAATTATATGATGAATAAACCTAAACACAATGCGTGTCAATCTTTCTACTTATGAGATCATTTTCAAATGACTCATCTGATTTGATGAGTGAAAACTAATGTTCCCGCTATAACAGTGCAACCACGACTATCATTGATTAAGTCACAGTGTGTTGAGTAAATAATTTTTTACCACATGACATGATCTTCGAAGGTAGCCCACAAGCAGTAGCTGCATCTTACTGTCATTTATGCTCTCATAGCTAAACTCAACGGGACATGCTTGCTGAAAAGGAGCGGTCAGTCATAAGGCAAGAAATTGAACTAAAAGAAATAGCAGTAACGAATGTCAGGCAGCATTGAACGAGTAGAAACCCCTTTTCTAGAGGCATAAAGCAGTTAAAGTTACATTGTGATTGGAAAAAAATAAAATAAATAAGATGATGAAAATTTACTGAGATGTTCTTTTTTGAAGCCGACAAGAACATTTTAATCAGGTAAACATGTTGGTACATCACCAGCAATCGGAGTCTAAGTTCGCAAATGCAGGCAAACATCAGAAAAGGGCATCCAGAAGGAAATGCCGATTCTAAAGTATATGTTATTTGAGCAAATTGAAATGCAAGAAAAAGTGGAACTAAATTATATACTGGCTACCAAAATATATATGTATGTACTACTTGTGCAGATTCTTCAAATTTTTGAAATAATCTTGCCTTAAAAATTACAATAAAGGAAAGTTTTTGTTCAAAATTTATAAATAAAGAATATGCAAATCATTCTTATTAGCCTAAAATATTCGACAAAATAGGTTCTAGTAATGATATACTCACAATTTTTCTCCTGGAATCACAACATTTCAAGTTCCATCCTAGGCTGATTATAGCCTTGGACACCTTCTGTTCGTCAAATTTTGCCCATCCAATGTAGAGTCCCCAAACTTGATCAGGAAGAGCAGACCATCCACCATCTAGATTTACACTCTTTTAATCAGATCAGATATTTGTTGCACAAGTAAAACATATTCCAACAGCAACAAATAAAAATAATGTGTAGGTATTAGTACACATGACATGATGTTTAAAGAAACAAATGCTTATAAGAACTCAAAACAGAACAGACAGAAGGAAAATAATTCTAGAAACCTTCATATTCCAGGAGAAGCCCATTGCTAAATAAACCTGTTATATGAATAGGTTCAATTGGCAAAGTATTATCAACCCCTGCATAATCAATTTAAGAGCAACGATTCATATTAAATGAGATGAAGACCATTAGCATGATATTGGATAAATTGGAAAGTAAACATACAGTCTCCAAATTGTGGAAGACCCCATAGTTGTGGTTGAAACTCTAGAAGCGAATGAAGTATGGAATCAGCAATAGAATATAAGTGAGCTTCTACTTGGAGTGATGGCACAGCCACAACCTTCATTCCAGCAGCCTTTCCTGCTTTGACACCAATGCTGTTGGAAACGAGAAGTGCAATAAATCATGGTTTAAAATAAAAACAATATTTTTTCTCCCTGCTCCAAACCCCAGCATTAGCAAACGTGGAAGATTGCCATTCAACTCTTGCGCAAGGAAATGTGCACATTAACAGGTGCAGAAGCAAGAAGAATCTCAGAATATATAGCAGGGACCAAGGTTAAAACATGCAATCATGTCGATGAAAATAACTTTGTAAATAAATATATGTTTTTCAGATAAGATTTGAGTGTGGGCGCTCACACACACACACACAAAAAGAAGTGGGAACTCAGAGTTTCAGCTGATTGCTAATTTAGACTGGGCTACACTTCAAATACAATAAAAGTTTACTCATAACTCAATAACATTCAGAATGTTTCTCTTTGAGGAATGTAAAGCTAATGTGGTCTTGTACTAAACTTGATCGCAGATGATAGCATAGCAGGTTAACTAATTCAAAAGCATTCTTCTTATGAACTAAACAACGCTTATAAATCAATTACTCTTGTGACAGGAAAAGAAAATAAAGCATGATTAGGAAAAAATTGAAATTTCAACGTCTCTTGTAGTGTGACTAAATTTAAGGTCAATGAGACAGTAAACATGAAAAGACAATTGTGTAATGAAGTTCTCCATCAATCAGTTTACAAAGAGGTTCACTACATAGCATGAGCCTAATATTGCTGGAAGAATTCTGTGTTTACTTTTGTATGACACTGTGCCAGGGTCGGTCCACTTGCATCCTTTTTGTTGGTTCAAACTACCTCTAGTTACCTCAAAATATATAGGCATGGTTGTTTGCAGTCAAAGAAAGATAAAGTCAAGGTATATAATTTCCTTCATGGGACACCAGCTAGGAACCATGTGATTTAGATGATTAACAACAAATTGCTATAATAAATTATGCTGATAACTTTGACAAAAAAACAAATAAATCAAACAAACAGACTTATAATAATGGCGACTTACAGGGAATCTTCTATCACTAGGCAATGGGCTGGATCTACATTCATTCTGTTTGCAGCTTCCAGAAACCTGATGGATAGTTTTTAATTGGAAAAAGACTCAGAAAGGAAAAATCCTAATATACCAGATATAGAAACAAAGAGTGTTTTCCCATGTACAATATTCACTGAAAAGCTTCTGACTGTTTATTCTGAAAAATTAATACCATCCACTATATGAATACGAAGCCTTATACAGCAAGATTCTTTAAATAATGAAAATAAATTGAACAGAAGGAAAATAAAATGCTATTATTACATTTCGTGGAGGACCAAGTAAAAGCTCCAAGGCATAGTGAAGAGGAAAAAATAATCATTATCTTACATATCTGGGGAGGGTTTCCCTGACTTGACTTGGTCACTTCCAAGAATTGTTGTAAAGTTTTCTTTCCAACCTATGAACACAAAAGGGGGGAAACTTGAATATGACGCTGAGAGAAGGTGTGACTTGAGATGCACTATGCATATTTTGCAAGCAAGAAGGACTACGCTTAACAAGAAATTTTGTAATTATGAGGCCATTCAAACACTACATGATGCAAGAGAAATTTGAATTTAGCGTGCTGGAAATTAAGAAAGATAAAAGGAGAAAGGTAAACCTGAACAGAGCAATGTTACAAAAATAATCAAGAGTCAATACTCAAGAACAGTCTTGGAAAGTAGTCGCGTTAATTAAGTCTTAGAAAACAAAAGCCAGTGGTTGTAGTTGTGAAATTATTACCAGTAGCCAGGCTATTTAGTAAACTATACATACTGGAAAATGTAGAAAGCAGAGAACTGACTACGAAAAACAGGTTCATGAATAATCAAATGAAACAATAATGATGGAACTTCTACATGATGATCATAAAAGAATCATGATGCAAAGAATGGATGATTTCGGCCAATATAGTAAGAAAGTGATAAAGAACATCACGACCTTCATGGTGAGAAATTTTAACATCAATATTTTTTGTTATAGAGTTTGAAGCAAGGGCAAACGGCACTCCATGCTTATGAAGATGTTTCATAAGACGATTAACACCCGGAAGTGCTTTGGCTTGTTGCCATCTATAAGGAAACATGACAAAGAATAAGAATTACAAAAAAATTATCCAAAATGATAAAAGAGAAAATATAGTTCAAAACATGACAAAGAATAAGAATTACATAAAAATTATCCAAAATGATAAAAGAGAAAATATAGTTCAAGAAACTCATGCTCGTCAAAATTTATGTAGTATATATGTAGATAACTTCATTACACTAGCGTTAAATGCCTTAAGTTGTCAGCATTTTCAGAAAAAATAGCATGACAAAACAACGGATGACTAGCAAAGATTAAACTTGGGGAAAAAAAAGGATATGTCGTCCCATCTTTTGAAAATCCAGCTTAAGAGCACAAATCACACAGACCTCATTCTTGAAGCTAACATATCGATTCCCCTTAGCCCTTTTTCATCCCACCTCCCTCAAGTGTACAGTAAACGTAAAATATTTATTCTGTTAAAAACTTTCAAGAAAAACGTGTATAAAATCTCCACATTCATTTTTTCTGTGGTGAATGATTCTATTATTAGCATTTTGATGCAACACCCAAGTACAGTTTCAAGACTCAGTACTTCTCCAACCATATAAAAGAGTCTACATGTTTTTTCGACAGCAGGGAATGATTTGTCAGATGGAAAACCGGAATTTGAAGTCGACTCTAGTGTCTAAACTCATCTATCACATTATTACAAACCACAAACGAATTTTTTACTGCTTAATTTTAATTTTCATCCTCGTAATAATCGATTCATAAAAATTGATTTTACATAAAGAAAATTTACAACTTCGAACAATTAATGCAATATCCTCTTATTATAAAATGTATACGTGTTCAGCGTTCTTAAGTGGAGACAGAAGTATTTGTACTTACAAACCATGGTACATGGGCATGATTTCTAGGGTAAACTGTTCAGGCGTGAGCGGAAGTTCATAATCATTGACAATGGCAATTGCCGCTTCTTTGTTGACCATACCCAATCTCTTCTTCTCCTTCTCCTTCTCCTGCATCTTACCATATTTTGCTAAGAAATCCTTCAGAATATCCCTTGTCACTTGCTCTGCAAAACATTCAATCGCATAATTATGCATCCAAACCACCAGTTTTGCAGAAATCAAGAAAAAGAAGTGAAATTACACACCTGTGCTTAATAGGGTTCCATCCAAATCAAATATAACAGCAGATATATGGGCCTTCACATCACCATTAGAGTTTTCCATTTTTCTGTTAGAGCGTTAAATTTCAGTGATTGTGTGTATGAATATGTGTATATTGGGAGTGGAATTCGTACTGTTAATATACTGAAAGAGGGATCGATCCCCATGGCAATTAGGCCTGGTTGCAGTTACGTATGGAATTTAGAGAGAGGGAGAATTCCCGCCTTATTCTACTTGCAGTATTTTTCTGGCATATGCCAAATGCTTTTATTATTCCGTCTATTTTGAAGACATATTCAATACAAGAAAAATAGTAATTGGATTCACCAAATTAAGCCCAGTTTGAACTCAATTTTATTCAAAATGTAATTTTCTTTCTCTCTCTTTTTTTTTTCAAGACACATTCTCCAATAAAATAATATCACCATAAATTTTAAAATTTTCTTATTTTTTAACCATACATTCTTCAAAAAAATTGGTATTTCAAAATGTATTTTTCCTCAAACTTTGATTTTAATGGAGCCAAACAAGGGCCATGTAACAATTTAGTCCCAGTAAAAAGAAAAAAAAAATGACAAAATAATTGCACATTCAATATAGGTTTATTCTCTTTGTACCCAGGGGGGGTTTACCGAAGCGTTTACCCCCCTCCCAAACACGCGGGCCCTCGTGTATTTAATAATGTCGAGTCGTGGTCCCCACCTTGATGATATGAGTAGGGTGTAAACGGTTAGGTAAACCATCATGTACGTGTAGCATGATCCTTCAATATATTAGTTAATTATTCAACTGTCAAAAGGGCCTTGTCATACGATCCTCTCTTCAATACAACCCTTGTTTGATTCAACGACATAATTGGATTAAAATCTAATATAAAATCAAGAATTAATTTAAATCCCACGCTCATAAGATTCGCAACTTTTCAACAATACATTTCGTCAATTTTTATCAAAATTTATTAAAAAATCAATTGTTATATAAACCAAACTGAAGCACAATTCTGCCCACTGGTCCTGCCAAGTTGACGAATTTTGAATTGTTGAGAACTACTTTGTACAATTTTACCAAGTTAGACGAGATAGGGACCAATGATGCAGGTTCCCATTCAAGAAAGCCCTTTATTTTAAACTTTTTCTTTAAACAAACGTTGGAGGCTTACATCTCAATCACAACCAGAATGGCAATCGAATCAAATCACGTTTATATTTTTAGGTCATTTATTCCCAGTTTCATTCTTGTAAACTTGTATTCTCGGAGGCCACTTGCCGCGTTAGCTAAATATTCCATATTCATAAACTTTGATGAGAATAAGTTGGGAAAATCCACAAGAAGTTGCATCTAGAGACAACAATCTGAGAGAGAGTACACACAAATCTTCCATCTAGGCTAAGGTAGTAATTGAAAAAATAACACCACCTGTTTAATCACACACTACTCCATTCAATAAAGGAAGATGGGTAGGCAGACTATTAAACCATAACAAAGACACGCGATGAAAAACAAGTATTCTGGGGGTGTGTTGCATCATCATCATCCTCCCTCCCCCAAACTGACATTCGGATGATTCACTGCAACGAAAAGATTGAACCCACAAATTATTTTATTTTATTTCAATTCGTGTAATAAGTTCATATAAATTATAGGAAACGAAAGCAGCCTACCTCCGAACCCTCTCCAGCTTTCTTGGCAGCATCCAGTTTTTGTGCTTCTTCTGTCAGGCACACAAAAGGAAATCAGAACAAAGTTAGAAAAATGTAACATTTCATGGATTATTTATTATCACATTCAAAATTTAACTTGTTGGTTTCCATAATGTTTATCATTTCCCTCTCAAAGACATGATATCATCATGTATAAAAACTGAGGTTTCAGCCTTGTAGAAGCATATTTCCTTAGTTCTGCACTTCCTTACCCTTAAATATATGTCTGTCATACATTATATGAAACAAACCATTTTATATTAATATAATAAATCACATGGTAGACGTTTGCAGAAATATTATGAAGTAGGCAACACCTCTCAAAATTTGTGATGCCAATATGAAGAGATCAGAAAGTTCCTTCAAAGTAAATATCATTTAATTAGACTTATTAATCTGAATATATATATAGTGCACTTTTATTCACTCCTCTTACAAATTGCAGTGATCGCTCAAATCCTAGGCAGGGGAATATACACCCCATAACCAACTAAAATCTGTGGTCAAAAGCAATCAATTAAAATGCAGTAAGATTTGAGTCATGTAATATTGTGATAACTGCCATTGTACCTGCATCCTCCGGAATCTCAGAGGTCCACAATGTGAGATTGTCCCTAAGAAGCTGCATAATCAAGGTGCTATCTTTGTATGACTCCTCATTTAAATTGTCCAGCTCGGAGATTGCTTCATCAAAAGCCTGCTTAGCAAGATGACAAGCTCTGCAATAAAAAAGATTGTTGAGTACTATAATGTGAAAAAAAAATTGGAATCAACACAATGACTGTAAAAGACAAACCTCTCGGGTGAATTCATAATTTCATAGTAAAAGACAGAAAAATTCAATGCCAAACCCAAACGAATGGGATGTGTCGGAGGCAACTCAGTCTCGGCTGTGGTGGTCGCTGTCTGCAAGCAGATTCCAGAAGTACAAGTAAGTATGTGCATGCACAAAAACGCCCACGCACACACTGACAGAGACTCAGAGTAAATTGATATCACTAAACAATGAAGAAAGTTCATTAAGATATCCACAAAGCCAGAGCTCCTAAAACGCTCCCAAAAAAGTTGATATATGGCTTCACTGAATTCTTTTCAAACAATGCAAAAGTAACACTATCATAGAAGCAATGAAGCTACTCTACCAAATTAAGATCCAGGGTTCCCAATTTTCAAGACATGTAAAGTGGTAAATCATGAGCTCGGAGGCAAATCAACTCGAGATGTCAAGGAATGAGAATGATAAGGAAAATACAAGCAAGTACACCTCTGTAATTTTGAGTCAAACATTTGGAATACATTTATCATCTTGTGCAATGAAATTTAATAGCTTTCTGAAAGATGAGAAGAAGCACCACATCCTTGCCTTTGCACAAATCCTTAAGCAGTAGATACTTCCTCTACACTAAATAAAATTAATGCTATTGTCCTTTAGTATCACTACGAGCTGGGTGAACGTATTTTTATAGAGTGATCAACACTGCAACACTGATAGCAGCACATAGTGAATTTCAACTTTCTTGGGCAAAGATTCCTATATGCTTCTAAGACCTATTCTTGTTTCCCTAACTTAATAATGTCTCTTGCGATATCTTTAAAGGGAATGGAGGACAAATTAGAATTCCTGTTAGATGAATAAAACCTAAGTACCACAGTCAGGCACACATCGAGAGCCACAAACATGATGTCTCTCCACCAAGACAAATTTATGTCCTGCCCATCCAGTCTTCTATGCATTCTTGAAGAAAGGATTTCAGTCAATATATCAAGTCGGGTGGAATACGTTACCTGATAATAGAACTCAAGCAATATGCTTTATGGATTCCCAAAACATTAAGAATATACCTCATATGCCTTCAGTGACTGATCAGCAACTTCTTTCCTCTCATTACCAGTCTTAAACTCTGCAAGATACCTATAATAATCCCCTTTCCTGCAAACAACAGAAACCATTCAACCTCCTAATAAAACAAAAAGTCACACTCAAACATAACTGAGGGGTAAGACCATTCTCACATCTTGTAGTAAAACACGGTCGACTCGCCAGCTGTACATGAAGGAATGAGATGCTCATTGATGACAGTCATGATGTCACTGCAAATGTTGGTGAGCTCTGACTCCACCTTCTGCTGGTACTCCTTGATCCGCTTAGCATTCTGCTCATTGCCTCTGGATTCCTCCTTCTGTTCTATCGAAGATAAGATTCTCCATGAAGCTCTCCGAGCCCCAATCACATTCTTGTACCCCACCGACAGCAAGTTCCTCTCCTCCACTGTCAACTCCACATCCATCTTTGCCACCTTCTTCATCGCTTCCACCATCTCTGTAAGAAAATCAGATTTGTGCTTATTTTTCATTCTGTATTGATTACACAACAAATGAAAATGCAATATTCACAAGATACGAGAAAAATGAAATCCAATTGTCTAATAAACTATTTGAATCACCAAAGACACAAGCAAATTGAAGAAAAAAATATTGAAAGATTTCAAATAATTCTTTCAATAGAAGCTACGAAAAATCTCAATTCTAACAAAAAGAATAATTAAAATTAGAATATATCACATACAGTAAAAAATTAATGAATTCCTTAAAGCTCAAGTCAAATACTAACTTACAAAGCGAAATTAAAAGGCTGATTGCAACTTAGCCCCTTCTAATTAGTAATTAATCATCGGTCCGTATCTCGAACAAAATATTGGCTAACACAAGTTCAATTTCTCCAAAAAATTGTGCGAGGGTGAGTGATTTACCATCGTAGCGTTCGGCTTGCTCGGCGAGCTTGGCAAGGTAAACGAAGGTTTCGCGATCTGAGGAAGAAGCCATCACCGATCCGCTGGATGGAAATATTCTCTCTCTCTAGATTCTGACACTGACAATGTTTTTACTTGACCGCGAATTTCACTGCCGAAGAGAGGGCTGTGGAGGGAGGGTAGTTGAATATCAGAGTAATGATTAATTGCGTGACCCCGGATTTTTTTCTGTTATAATTCTCCCTCCTATTTCTACAGTTTCAACCAAACACGCGTTTTAGACGTGATGCACTTAAACTCCAATCTTCTCAGTATGGAAAATGCAGAATTGTTTCAGTATAAGTCGTGACTCCAAGAATTCGTGTGTAGTGATGGCAAAAAAGTTTCGCCCCGAATGGGGAAAAAACCTGCCTCAAACTGATTCGTAGGGCGGGGCGCCCCGTCGTGGGATGAGGGGGAGGATGCCCCCTAACCCACCCTTAAAAGATTAAAAATAATTTATTTCTATACAATTCACCTGTTAAAAACATATTTTGAATTTGTATTTTATTTTCTAATAATGACATAACTCGAAATTTTGAAAATGTTAAAAATACAAAAAGTTAAAAAAAATAAATTAAGTGGGACAACAAATGAGGGAAAAAATTGCCCCATGCCCACCCTGTCCTGGTGGGGCGGGGCGAGGTTTGGGCGAGACAGGAGTGGGGTGGGCACCCCACCTCGAACTCGCCATGTTGCCATCCCTATCCATGTGCTTAAGGATAAATATTTTTTAAGTTATTTAACCCCTCTTTGGTATTAATTTAAATTAGATTTTAATTTAAGCCCCCGTTTAATTCTCATTCTTTGGTCATAAAAATGAAAAATATGATTGTTGTTCATTATATCATGTCATCATATTTGACTTTCTATCTCTTATGTGGATTTCGTAACGACTATATTTTTCATTCTCATTTTTAGAAAAATGGGAATCAGACAAGGTCTAAGTCCAATAATTAATATTAACTACATATTTTTATGGGTCTCACAACTTGTCAGCCATATATTTCAAAAATTTTTATCAAGATTTATTAAAAATTTAATTTTAATATCCATCAAATAGGAGGTTATTTTCTTGCAAAAGCAATTCGGCATGTAACTCGATGGGGAGTGAATCATGTGAACATGGGAAGAAAAATCTAACATCAAACAACAAATTCTATTATGTAAACTAATTTATACATGTTTTGGCGCTAGAGGATGCACGTCATGTGAGTTTGTAATTGGACGAGGCTATCCACCAATTGGCATGTGTCCTGAAATACGAGCGTAACGACTCGTGGACATAGACATATTGACAAAATAAATAAATATTGAATATAGTAGAGAATGTTAAGCTCCTGTTTGATTGTCATTATTTAGCAAAAATAAAGTTTTTAATAGTGAATTTTTAAATAATGCAAGATTAAAAAGTAAGGAAAAATTTTGGGTGTACGTGCAGAATATTTTATTATGTGAATGTGTAGTTAAAAATGAATATGTAAAATAAAGAGTTATGAAATAATAATTGTCAAACGTACACTTAAGTATTAATGACAAATATTTTCAATCAATAACATTAGATACAATTTTGATAAATTTGTAACAATCTTGCTATAGTGACAGACACGACGATGGAATCAATTAAGGATGGGATACGTGTCAACATATGATTGGACAGTGTTAGAAAATACACCCTCGAACCCCACCTTATCAATTACCCATGACATTTGTCCTGTTCGAAGAGCATTATTGAATTGGTAAATTCAAACACTGAAAAGTCAAGGAATAAATTATAATTAGATTTCTACGAAAAAGTGCGGATTTTTGGAGACAATTCTTTTTTGGCGTGGGGTTTATGATTAATCTTTCTATATTTATGCAAGTTTTATGGTAACTTTTGTATTCTCCTTTTTGAGACTATCTTGATCCATCAGAATTTTTAATATAGTTATTTTTATAAAAATAATAATAATAATAATAATAATAAAATGAGGGAATGATTCGTTATTATTGTTTTATATTTTTATTCAAAAATAAATGAACTTTTATGTGAATCAAAGTAAGTTTTTCAATGTGTGCAAAATAGAAATTTTTTTTTTTTTACTTTAATAATAAACTAACCCGAAATTTGGAGAATGCTAACGGTCATCAAACCTTCTTTCCTTATTCCAACCCCAACTCCAAAAGCGTAATAACTAATAAAAACCCCTACATATACAGTAATATCTCAATACAAACATCAAACCGTTTCTCTATCAAGAGAATACCCAAAATTTTGAATCCAATTTCAATTTCCGAAGAGAAAACGATGAAGTTTCATAGGGCTGGTGAAGTTGTGGAAATAACCAGCAATGAAGAAGGCTTTCTTGGATCTTACTATGAGGCAACGGTGGTGGCGACGGGGCAGTTAAGGAAAGAATACATGGTGCAGTATCATACTCTATTGAAGGATGACATGTCAGGTCCGTTAAGAGAGATTGTCCCCGCCGCCGAGGTTCGTCCGCCGCCGCCGGAGATTCCGGTGACTGAGTTCAAACTGTACGATCAGGTTGATGCTTTTGACAACGATGGATGCTGGGTTGGGAAGGTCATTGCGAGGATTGGAAACAAGTATATTGTGTATTTTGAATGTTCTTCAAAAGATGAATTTGTTTATGATTTTGAGAGGCTGAGAATTCATCAAGATTGGGTTAATGGCAGGTGGGTTCTTCCCAAGAATCAAGCCAGGAGGCTTTTTTACTAGGCTGCTGATGGCTTTTTCTTGGAGGAAACTCTGCTTATTTTTTTTGTTTTCACTTGTGCTTAATGATTTTCAACCTGTTTCTTTAGTTTTCCACGATTAATTGACTAGATAATAATAGATTTTCAAGTTTTTTACTCTTTCTGCAATGTATTATGATCTGTTTCTTGGGACTTTTATGATCTGTTTGCTTATTGATTTTCAGTCTGTTTCTTGAACAAAGCTCTTGCGAAAGAAATAGAGGTCCTTGTTCGAAGTTCTTGGGTACGACTTGAATTTTATAATTGGATGATTCAATGATAGCAGTCTTTAATTTAAGAACGTAATTTGGCTAATTGTAGAAAATATTAATTTCAAGTTAATTTTTCTTATAAAATTTCAAATTTTTTATTGATGAAAATTATAAGTTGTTATGACAGTAAAATAAGTATTATTGGATCAATGTGTGCCCCAAGTCAAAATTTACGCGGGGATGAAGGCCATTTAGCATATGAAAGGGACCTCCGAATTCACCGAAGGGAAAACTGTGCAAGTTTGATCATAGGTTAGCATCTCGAAGAAAGCATTATGGAAATTTTAAAGTTTGATTTTCTAGAAATGGAGGAAACTCGGCACAGGAAATTCAAGGACGCGATGGTTTTGTTGATGTGGTGGTGGATATGGGTTTTAGATGGTGAAAGTGATTATAATACAATACTAGGGTCTCATTTCGGAGTGATTTTTCACTACAAAAAATTAATTTTTTGACCGTTATTTCACTATTTCAACCGTAATTTTTAACTTATTCTCTCACAGGAAATTCTCACTCTTCTCTTAACGATTAAAAAATCAATTTTCAAAATCATTTTCGAACGGTGAATTGAGATTGTGAGTGAAGACTGCAGGCTGTTGAGTTGATAAAATGGTGGCTATGAAAATAATGAGATATGCTTGAGATCACAGAAATCTGACATGATTAGATGCTGCTAAAGGGTGACGGCACTGGTGAGATACAATATTAGACAAAATGGTGTTAGGGTTTGGGATGGATTAACGCAAGGACAAACGTGTTAGCACATAATGCACGGATATAAATGTTGCCATGCAATTCATAAAATAGGTAGCATAGATGTTACTCTCTGTTGACCAAAAAAAATGTTGTCAACAGATGTTGAATTCACTCGTGCACACGTGAATGAAAGTTCAACACGCTAAGATACGTGAACGGTCTAAAACGGACAGATCAAGGCGTGGGAGTAGCTCAATGACGAGGACGAGAACGTTCGGAATTCGACGGGATGTTCGTAGATCGATTATACAATAATTACCAATCGATGTTTGTAAATGTGTATCTAAATATGTATGAACTCGTTTGTGTTGCAAGATAATAAAAAAAAAGAAAGTTGAGTAAAGTATGATTTCTTGTATTGATTCTTGCATTAGCCTTTGTATAGGGTACATGGGGGAGTATTTATAGTTTCACAAGTTAGATCGTGACCTTTGGTTCGGGGTACACGTGGTCTCATCCAATTAATTTATATGTCAAATTGTTGGTATCGGCCGCACCTAGCATGCTATACATTTATTGATTGGTAGAACTGCCTCTATTAGTGACAAGACTTAACATTTATATTCATGATAAACGTCCTATCAATCATTCAAGTAAGATCTTTGTGCAAAGGATCTCTTGGGAGAAGTGTCTATGGAAGATGTTGCTTTGTGATTCGGAGGCTGCTACCTTGGCTACAGAGTTTCGGCCAACAGGGCCTCGTCTACCTTCAAAGGCCTCGACATATGGGCTTCCGAAGCTCCTCAAGAGGCAATGATAGTTGGGCCTCGGTATATATGGGTCTAGGTTTCTGTGGACCTCGGTTTGTGGGCTTCGGCTATGCAAATCACCTCGACTTGAGTATCACATGGTTCGGCATGAGTTGGCTGTGGGCCTCGATAGGTTGCCCAAGTGTGTAAACACGTAACAATAATCCTCCAAGTCCAAGTATAGTCATTTATGTAATTTGAGGACTTTGATGAAGTAAAGCCAGCCAGTTAAGTTGAAAGAAATTTTTGAAATTTTTTTACCCCAAATAATAGTCCCCCAAGTCCAAGTATAGATATTTATATCATGGTTGGAGTTAGAAATGTGCTGTTGTGGAAGAATGATGAAGCTGAGGTGGTTTGAGAAACCGAACTTGCGAGGCTTGTGGAGGCTGAATTCTGATGAGGAAGCCGAGGTGGTTGAGAAACCTAACCTGCGAGGCTTGATTGGCTGAATTCTAAAGAGGAAGTCGAGGTAGTTGGAAAATCGAACCTGCGAGGCTTGATTGGATGAATACTGATGAGGAAGCCGAGGTGGTTGAGAAATCGAACCTGCGAGGCTTGTGGAGGCTGAATTTTGAAGCTCATTGGTAATGATTGTTCCTTGATAGTTGTGTTAATGATTTGATGTTTTACGCATATTTTCGAGGAAAGGTGGCTGGACCGTTCAACTTCCAAGGCCTCTGCTGCCGTCGAATTAAAGTCGTAATTATGAACACAGCTGGAGCTTCTAGAAGTAGACGCGTTTGGGGAGATTCGTGGAGGACACGCTTGAATCTGAAGCATAGGCTTGAAAAACCGTTTGAATTCTACGTCTCGAATTCGATTTAGAATGAA